GACTTCCAATTTGCTTTTTCCCGGGCCGGGAAAAAGCAAAATGGTTCGGACTTCCAATTTGTTTTTTCCCAGGCCTAGAAAAAGCAAAAGGCTCAGACTTCCAATTTGCTTTTTCCCGGGCCGGGAAAAAGCAAAATGGTTCAGATTTCCAATTTGCTTTTTCCCAACCCGGGAAAAAGCAATCGGAAGTCTGAAGAGCAATTGTTCTTGCAGCGTGGCCAGGTCACCAACATGACTTGCGCAGACCTTTCGCAGGACCTTCGCGAACCTTTCGCGACTGCAGTGAGAGCACAATCGAAATCAGCCTTTGAAATTCGATTACTAACAAGGAAGAGGTGGGTTTTGAACGACGCTCAAATGAACATATTCCTTTAGGATGTCAACCCCCCAGGGTTGGGGGCTCCAGGTTTTGACCGCCAGATAGGTATATGCGTGTCCAAAAAGACCTTCAAGACATCGATTCGTGCCTCTGTACATCGTTCAGCGCAGCAAGTGCGGCTTGTGCGGCATGAGCCACTTCGGGTCGCCTTGGCCGCAAGCGCGCTCGCGGAGCCGGCAGACGACCAGGTCTGGATCAGCAAACAGCCGGTGCTGTCTGGATACGTGCATCCAAGAACACTTGGTGCAGGTGCTGTCCGAAGCCAGTCGACCTGGCACTTTAGGCACTTTACAAACTACTGAGGCGCCCCAACCCGCCGGTGTCATAGCCAGTAGCCTTGGCGCTTGAGCGGGGAAAAGAATCAAGCATGGATACAGTGACAACGGAAGAAAGGTGTCAGTGCAATCTGACACCTGAACACAGCTAATGACATGATTATATATATAGCTGCCCTCCACCTGGCTTTTATAGCTGCCCTTTCATGCCCTTGTCCTTCTTGCAAACCACCTGGCCACCTTATCCGCCTCATCCTCAGCCCAGTGGCGGCAGCGAGCCCAATGAGCCACAGCCAGGCCAACATCGCGTCCGCCCGTCGGAGCCAAGAGGAACTCGCAAGGCCGGTGGAACTTGGCGTTCTTTTTTTGAAAACACCGGCCATGTCTCTTACGAAAATGACCCATGTTCAGAATCTGTGGTGGAATCTTGGTTTGGGTGTATTTCCCGGTGGATGAAGAAAAACCAAAGCGGGAGGGAGGTTGCATCATTAACAAATATTAACAGTAAGATCTGAAACCCCCACCATTGCCTGTTGGGTATTATTGGTGACAATGTCTTTTAACTTGCTGCATTCGCGACATCCTTACAAAACCAACGCGTTAAAGTCTAGCTGTAAAATCCGGGTATACAGGGAAACACATTTTTGCACGCAAAGGGTTTTGAAGATGTTTTGAGAGTCCGCATTGGTGTACATGATGTACATGCATTTACACATTGCGGATGGTCGGAGGCCACCCAAACATGCACATCTTTTGCACGCAAGTCTACAGCTTTCTCGACTCATTGCTGGCATCTTTGTCCTCACTGTCCGTGTCTTCTTCAGGATTCAGCTCCTCTGGAATGCGTTGATCCTTTTTGATCCATGTTGGCCCTTTTCGAAACCATCTATAGCATCGTTCAACAAGTACCTGGACCAAGGATGACCTCTGTTCCGCCAAACCGTTCGACGCCTTTCGCCAACTCCTCGCGTCTCCTCGTGGGCATCTTCGTCCTCGCTGTCAGTGGCTTCTTCGGGATTCTGCTCCTGTGAAATGTGGCCGCAGCTGCACCTCCCAAGTACTTACCTGAGCCTATCCTCACGTTCATGTTTGCCTCTGTTGCATTCCACACAGTTCCACCAAATCGAGGATGGGAGTTCTTCAAGAGATGTGCGTTGTAGGACTCTGAACACATCTTGCTCTCCTCGCCTGCAGCGGCCAAGCATCCCAGTCCGAACTCCCGGACGACCGCGCTTCTCGTTGCACCGCTGCGCGCACCACTGGGGAGCCCTCCACATCGATGACGGGGGCTTCCAGGCGACCCTCCACGTAGCGAGAGTCTTCTGTGCCCTCGTAGTTGGCCTGCTCCATGTGGCCTCACCATGGGAGTCTTCGATTCTCGGAAGGCAAGGTACAGCTTCTGAATGGCCTTATAGGGTCTTGTATGATCTTAGAAGAGTCCAAGATGCTAACATGATATATCGTGAAACAACGGAATCATCGTCCAGGCAGGCCATGGAAGAAAGGACGGGCTTTTTCCATATGATCACAGGGCCTGCTCCTCCCACCTGGCTTGTGTACTGCCAAGGTAGAGTCAGCTTATGCCGACTTGGTACAAGTTTACACCAAAGCCAGCTCGATTCTACCGACACTTGCATGACTGACACTAGCTAGACACTTTGTCGAGAAGGCTTTAATCAATAGCACCAGTCCAGCAACCTTGAGTAGCAATATCACAGCAATATCTACCTCACTGAACAGTTGTTCCAAAGTGTGTTCCAAAACCTAGCTTACCAAGGTTATGTTGCAATCACTTTTTGACTCACACCCCTGGTGCCACTGTGGATACGATTGTTGCAACTGGCCAAGTTTTGCATGCCGAGATCTAGGGATCAAAAGCAACCTAACTACTGTAACTGATTACAAAAACATCTACGTATACGGATGGGAGTCAATCCGTGAAGTCAAATAAAAAGAACTGTCATATCCTTTTTCTCATGCCAAAGAAAATCCTTTCATACTATATATAGTATATAGGTCAATCCTTTTATCATGTTCCTTCAACATCTCAAGCCTCACTGCCTCGTTGTGGTCAACCGCCTCAAACCCCTCCTTCACCCTCCTTCACCCTCCTTCACCCTCCCACCGAGCGTCGATGGAGCCGATCCCGGTAGGGCACCGGCAGCGCCGAACGGCTCCGGGAGCCGATGGCGTGGGTCACGTGGGTCTCACCGTTGAGCATCATCGCATCGGTGGCCGAGCCATAGACCTCCCGGGAAAGGGGATCAACGGTCGGGTCGGTGGGAGACACGTGGGGATAAACCATGGTGTGAAAAAAGGATGGAGCAATATGCACATTGAAAACAATGTAACAAGGGTGGTGGACCAAAGGCCGGGTTCAAAAGGATGCAGGTGTTCGCTTCAGAGTCGAAAGTCCCCGGACGAAGATTCGTCATGAAATGATGGTGATGTGAAGCTTGTCAGTGAAATCCTTTGTGGACTATTCTCTGAGTGGATCAGGGACCATGCCAAGCTTGATCAAAACCCCCACCTCCACGTAGTGCGGAAAGTCACCTGGTTGAAAGAAGTACTCCGGCCTCCTCCGTGAAACAGGCTTTTCGCGGAGGTCAGAAATGAAAGTCCAATTTCCCGAAGATTTGGAGTCAATGGTCAAAGTATATACATTATATATATAATTACAAGAATGTCATAAACCCTGTCAAGTTCAAGGTCACCGTGCTGCATGTGATCTGACCTAAGGGGTCATTAGGGTCATTGACCATGTGCTCCGACTAGACATGTTGTCGAAATGTTTTGTGCTTGGGCATGTTGTGCCTAGCTTGTCTCTTCTTGCCTCAGCTCTGGTACGGATTCAACGGCATTGCACCGTGCACCAGTGATAAACCCGGTGCCATGACCGCTTGGGGTGGGGTTGGGGTGGAAAATTTCCAGCCCCAAAACCATCAAACATTATCAAACTATCTATATGCGTGGCCAAATTACCTACATTGGAATCATTCGAATGGGGGAGATGTTGCAACTGCGACATTGGTGACCCTGTGCTTGGATGGAACGTCAGCATGCCCTGGAGACATTGTCACGGGCAGGAATACCAGATGTCTGGTTCCATTTGGGGGGCCAAGACACTCCCTCCAAAAAAAGGCACGGCACTCCAATTGTCCATCCAAAACGATACACTCCCAGCCCAAAGAGTTGAATCAAAACGTGGGCGCCACCCTCACATGGGCTCCACCCTCCGTCCGTCATCCGCGACAAGGCTCCGGTAGAGCAACTCCAGCTGGTATTGCTCCCGAGCTTCTTGCGTCAAGAGGTGGACCTTAATGGATCCACAATGGGCCACGACCCATTCATCCTGACGCGTTCCGTAGCAGAAGGCTTGTACGAAGGGAGCTTCGCAGGCCTGCGCAAGACGAGACAGGGGTCTCCCCAGGCTGCATGCCGGAGACACTGGATGTGTGAAAGGGAGACTCCATCGTCTAGTAGATAGTAGATGCCCTCTTTCATCCTCTTTCCGTCGGGGGGGTCCCAACCGCTTCGCGTCATGCCTTTGCGGTTAAGTTAGGGTCATATATGATGCACAAGCCTAACATATCCTAAAAAGGGGAACGCCCGAGATGCACATGTTGTGAATCAGTTTGTTCTGATACCGAGTTACTGCTGTCTACCTGTGACACTGTTACAGTACAAGAAGCTTTTGCATCGAAACACCTGGCCTCGGTTGCACGAAACATGATATGCCCCAGGCGCCGGCAATGCCGCGCCGTGACCCCTGTCGCGATGATGGCATGTGTCCCCACGTCACGCCGATCGCACTCTTCCAAATCAATGACACTCACGTCCCGCGCTTGCTCCAAACGCAGAAGGTTCGCAAGCATCTCTGCCGTTGGCAAATAACCTCTGGGCCAATCGGTGACCACCTGACAGTTTGAGATGTGTAGAGAACCTCTCATTCAAATCAGCACAGTGGACACTCCTGAAGCTAGATCGTTGGTCTCAATAGGTCTCAACAACTGATGGGCATCCATTCTGACCGTTTAATCTGAGGAGTTTATTCTGGGCTGACAGCCACCTGTGTTGAGTTGAGTGCTAAACAAAGCCGAGGGATTCCTCCCTCGCCGTGATCTGGATTTGAAGGGATCCGACTGGATCCAACGAACTCCGACCTGGAGCCAGGCATTCTCTTGCCCATGCTCACCGCCATCTTCTTCCATCCCAGTGGACCAGAGATGTCCTTTTGCTGGTCGCATCACCGGATCGTGGTAGTACCGCCACTCGTCCTCATCGTCATCATCTCTTTGTAACTCCTTGTGCTTCTCCTTGTGTCTCACAAAATGATTCGCCCAGGAAAATGGCAATTCATGAGACTTCCGGTGGGCCACATGTCACCATATTAATCAATATGGGTGGGTGTATATACAAATAGGGAGACCTCCCAAAGACCCCCTTAAAAAGGGGAAATAGACCCAATCCCGGTTCGGGGGTTCCCTGTGGAAACAAGAAAACACATCCATATGATCCCTGTTCCATGCAAAGACAGGTCTCCAAGTAGTAATCTTGGGCTCGGCTCACTAATCGATCGCGGTTTTCCATGTAAAAGACCTGCGCTGGAGTCAGCTCACCCTCATCCACGGGCGTCTCCTGTACTTGGCCGTCTCCGTGCTGCAGCCACTAGTGGCTTCACGTCAAAAGAACTTCCATGAACAAGGCACTTCAGTGGTCAAATCATTCCTTCCTTGCCAAACATGTTTTCAAACATATCCCTGTTTCAGGATGTCAGTTGAATTCATCAATGTTGAGAAAGTCTAGCCTCATACAAATCGATTCAAACAGAATAACCCATGCTTCCTCTTCTCAGCACAACTGCCCCTAAAAACGGCCAAATATGGCCAAATGCATCCAAAGCCTTCAGTGCCTGTCCTCCGAGCTGCCAGACACCGAGATGGGCACCAACTCTTCGATGGAGCGCTTCACACGCTCTCGCAGCTCTTCCTCGCTCAACTGGGCTGCTTCTTCAAAGGCCTCCCGGCTGGCATTCAGTTGCAAGATAGCAGCAGTGATGAAGACCGTCAAAAACACCCGTGAGCGTAACACACTTTGAAACCCTCTGCCAAACCAAATGACATCAAATGACAAAACACATGCTGAACAAAATAACCTGATGACCAACCTGAATCTGAAGCCTTCTGAAGCTCGGACCTCTTTGATCTCACGAGCCACACTGGGGTGGGCACTCGAGTCCACTCGGGTGGGGCAGGTCACCGGCCTTCTGCCGTGCGAGCTTGGCGGCTGCCAAGGCTTGACTCCGCTCAGCCTGCAGAAGGTCCTCGTTGAGCTCCACGTCCTCGTTGAGCTCGAGCACCTGACACGAGGCGAAGGGAGGGAGGAGGCCGTTCTGGTGGATGAAGTCAATACGGACAGATGCTGGAATACCAAAATATAGATCAAGACAATGAAACACACATCAACAAACGGATGGACCGGTATGGGGGGTCCATTTTCTACGAGTAGTTCTTTCGGGCACTGGGGCACTTGGTCTTGGACTGAACCCCCTTAAGGGTTAAGGGATGTCCATTAGCCACCCCTTAGGCGCCCTGGTATGTGTTTCCCTTTTCAAGCAAAGCAACCCCCTGCCTCGCGATTGAAGTTTTCTTCAGGTATCTTCAGGTGATGCTCAAGGTAATGTTGAGATTGTAAATAGAACATAGTATAATTGCTTGGAACAGGCATAGTCATGAACCGCACTCTCTAGCTTGCTTTGAACCTTTGTAGCGTCATTTAATTCGGCTCCATGCGTTCAATCTTATGTGGTCGTTGGTGGCAACAGGTCGTTGCCGTCCGACCTCCTCCAAAGCAGCGCAGGAATATGCTCGAAGACTTTTTCGAAAAGATTTGACAGGTCTGGCCCAGTCTAAGCTGTGCTTGAAGGTTTTTTTGCTATGTGCAGGCTGTGAGAGACGGTCGAGGAAGAGTGAAGCAGCACGATAACTTTGGAAGCATGTCAGATCGTGAGGTCGTGCCCTCCTCGTGGTCGACAGGTATCATTCACAGAACATGTAAAATGATTGGAACACGGCCCAGACTGGGTTCTTGTCTCTGCCTAGCGTCGGGGAACCAACGCACCACACCTGAGGTTGTGTAAGAAACCCTCTATCCTTCCTTATACCACTCTTGACGTTATCGTGTTTTCTTCCTTATCGTTTTACAGCACGTTGACTAACAGCAACAAATATATATAGTATAATGTAGTGTGCGCACTACATGCATGTGGTGTGTGGAACTTTGCAGGCATGAAGACATTAGGCACACTTCATTCCAATTACACTCATGTGGTGGCCTGCCTACGGAAAGTGTTTTAGGCTTGCTGTGTTGTCGTTTTTTGCTATCGTTGTGTTATCGTGTTCATGCCTGGAAAACCATGTGGCACAACAATGCTGTAGCACAAGGCTACAGCGGTCCAAGCTCTCCCACCTCTGTCCAAGCACATACCCACCAAGAGCAGTCATGCATTGACCCTGACAATTTGGAACAGTAGTAGGTTTTCTGTTTGTGCGTGTGCACGCGTTTTCTTCACACCACTTTTCGCATGTCAAGGGATTTCCACACGAGTCATCGGGGGTTATCATTGTTGTTGATTCCTTATCGTTTCACAGGGGATTGGGCATGATTTCTTATATGGGGCCTTTTTATACTCTTTCACCTGCTGTTCCATGCATATATATATATATATATCAATAGCATGCTACAAAGCCATTCTGGAGGATGGTTGGATGGATCAAGAAACCAACATCACGGCTGCCCGCCTCAGTTTGCAAGTAGCTCTCTGCAGTCTCTGCATCTTCGCTCTCTTCCACCTCCTCCAGCAGGTCTTCATCAATATCCACCTGGAGCCACCCAGGGAGGAGCAACAAATCCATACCCGTGGTGATCCACAAACATCCACAAACCATTTCAACGACATTCACACATCTTGTGAAAGTACATAAAAAGGTTGTCAAAAACCAAAGAGCAAGAACACCATCAACATCCATAAACCCAGAAAGGTTGAAGAAGATTTCGAAGGGACGAGCAGGAGGAGCAGGAGTCACGCGTCGATGCGGAACCAAAGCGGAACGGTGCGGACGTTCCGGTGTCGCTCCGAGCTCGGACCTTCCGAGCTCTACCAGGGCCGGCTTTCATGGACATCCCTGTACACCATTAAGGGGCTCTTATTAGACAACCCGAAACTGGGCCCTCGTAGCCCAGAATCTCTAGCTAACTAGCTAACTATATGTGGTCAAAAAGACTTGAACCAAAACATCGACGAGTGACCTGACATCGATCGACATGGACCCTTCGATTGTTTCTTCGTTTATCGGTGACACCGGAACGTGACACCGGAACGTGCGCGGTCGACGTGGCGCGGTCCAAGACACAAAGCCACCGGCGGGTCCACCTTTGGGACCAGGTGCCGCGCTGAACTCCGGGCCGCCGCTGGAGATGGGTAGCTTCCCTGCCACGATGCGAGCCCGGGGTTCAAGGCACCAAAGCGGACGACATCGGGCTGTTTGGACGACATCGGGCTGAGATGCGTCCGAGATTCGGGTGAACCTTGGCACACCCAGAGGTGATGATGTTGAATAGAGTGTTTGCAAAGTGAATGTCCTAGACATAAAGACCGAACGCTCAATGTCCTCATGTAAAAGTGTTTGAACCATGTTGGAATTGATCTCTGTCTCTTTCAATATGTTCAATCAAACTTTGGGAAAGCTTCCACACCACATAATTATCAAAACCTATAAATATATATATATAGTATGTACTACTAAAGATACACTGTAACTATCATATCATGATTATGTTGCGGCTCACAAATTTGGCCATTGCCATGGTTCTCTGTGTATGATGTCAGCCACACCCAAAAAATAGTTTTCACAAGGCTGGCCTAGTGGTTATCCAAAGTAGGTTGTACGGGTGAGTGGCAAAGCTCAAAGTTTGCACCTCTTCCACCAAACAGCGGCAGCTATCTGCTCATAACCCCTTCCGCTAATCAAAAGGAAAACACAGACCTGCTCAGCACCCAGGATCAAACAATCAGATTCCGCTCAGAGTGCGCGGAATTAACCCACTGCCCACTGTGCATTTCTCGAGTGTCGGGCGTCGCCTTTTTTCTTGAGCTCCTTCACGACATTGGCGAAGGTCTGCTCCCCCGACTCACCTTAGATGGGTGAACTGAATCCTGGACATCATGCAAAGCGTTGTGAAACTGCCACGACTGCAAAAGTACATGAGACATCATGAGATAACATCTTTGCCAAACAGCCTTGAAATGATGAAATCAAAGCATAACCATCTTTGGCAGCGGATCACTTTGAACAAGAGCCCAGCGGATCACTCTTAGGAACCAAGTGAAGCATTTCTCCGTCTATTTTGCCACTATGTATACTGGCAAACATGGAATCACCAAAAAGGATCATCGATTGCTTCTCTGGTCAAAATTCTATGAAATCAATCCTGTCCTAGTCCTTCTGCTTCCTTCAAATCATGCTTGGTTCGGGAGTGGCCGGTCTCCGGGCCGAGCTACCCCATGCATCCGCTCTACGTCTTCAAAAGAATGCTTTCCACACCTGACCCCCTCTTCTGCATATGTTGACCCAATTGACTAATGTGACGCCGAGCAAAGGCCCGGCCCGCAGGTGTTGTCTGCGTCCGGCACCAAAGCGCTCGCGACACATGGCCCAAAGCCTTCTGAAGCGAATACATTGGATTGTCTGCTTTCTTGTTGTCTTTGGTTGTCTTGTAACTCTACACTGAGGTGTTGCGGATTCAAAAGGAGGAGGAAACCACGGGAGAACCCTTCACAAGCTGAAGTCGCATAGTCTGATTCCTTGGTTTTGGGGCGCTCTTCTTGGTCCAAGATCTGTGTGAAAAGCAAAACCATAGCAACAAACTTCCCAAATCATCAGTTGATGGCTTTCAACTGCTTTCTCATTCCGGACTTCCATTTCTTTCTGAGCTGAGCATCTCAGGACTTATATATATATATATTAATATGCATCTAGTTTGTGAACCCTAGTCACCCTAGTCCTAGTTGCCTCAAGTTGTCTCCCCAAAGTGCGGTCTCCTACTTGTGCACCCCTTCTGACGTGTATTTTTGCGTCTAAAGAGCCCAGTCCTGGTGCATGTTGGTATAACATGTTGTTGCAATCGGGATCCATTCCTGCTGTTGCTGCTTGATTCCGTCACACTCTTCCTGCGCTTCCTGTTGAGTTTGGCCTCCGGCACTCCGGAAGTCAGGTGGCAAACATGTGGGGTTCCAATGTTGCATCTCTTGCTTCTTCCGCCATGACGCCTTAATTTGCTACTACCAAGCTGGCTCGATCCAAGAGCCCAAGCAAAAATCAAAACGGATCGATCCACTCTCCGAACATCCACATCCTTGGTTTGGAGAAAGAAACACTGAGCTACAACTGAGCTAGCTCAACAGTTCAAGCTTCCCGCGGTTCAAGGCATTAAAAAACAAAGAAACTGGCCTTTGGGAAAGGCCAGGCTTGGTTTTTCGAAAGAAGTGGCGTCTCAAGGCGGAGTTTTCCGGGCAAAACCCTGGCGAAAGAACATGTCCAGACGCTCCATGGGACTGGCATGTACTGCATTGACCCCTTTTCAACACCCCCAATAAAAAGATGCCATGCCATGGATGCTGAGTCAAAAAAATTGTCTTTGCCCTGAGAAGTACCATTTTCGTCGAAGTCGCATCTTTACAATCCGAATCGCATGCGATTCTGCTGCGACTGGACCCTCTCGGATAAACAAATTAAGAGTTGTATATGTCAACGTACATCAAATCCAAATCTGTACCTTTCTGTGCTCGCCAAGTCGACTGTACAAAAAACTGCACAAACTGGGCGAGGGCACAAAAGAACAGCATTGGAAGGTCATTGCCTTGATCCAAAAGGGCCCCTTAGCCTTGCAGTGGATGTCAAAAATCACAAAGACTCTACACAACTTGGGAAGACTAAGGGACGGAAACACACATATAGAAACACGATCACTGTCACCACTACTTATACTTGGGGACTCTGTTCCCCTAGACTGCTGAGACTCTTGCCAAAACGTCGGGACAACTCTTTCAGGCCACTGATTCCCTCTCGTACCTGGCGATGTTCGGATTCGTGTGCACCATGCGCCAGCGACGACGCCGGCGGTGTCTTCGTTCACCCGATGCGGTCGCGACTGGTGTCTTCGTTCGCCCTGGAAGAGTTCCTTCCAACCGTGGGTGCTTAAGGGTATTCATATATATATATATATAGGGAATCACGCTCTAGGATCAAGTGGCTGATGGCATTTCCCAAGTAGAGATCACAAATTGATTGCATATCAAAGGTGTTTTGCGAGTGCAATCAAAGTGCGATTCCCTATATATCTACATCTACACAGGAGATGTCTGATCAAATCACCATCGTTCACAGTCCACTTGAGCAGAATGCTGCTCCAAACCGATCCAAAACGGTTCTTAACCTGGCACCTCCAGACATGTAACATGCCAAACAAGTCTCTTCCCTCTAGATCACTCCAGGCCTGGCAAGGAGTGCCAGGACTCAATCCGATCTGAACCTGGTGGACACAGGGCGATCTGAGTGGTTGCACCCTCAGGAGCGATTTGGACAAAATCACATGCAGTGTGCTACCAGCCGATTGGTATTATGACCAGTTAGGATTGTATATACTGTATGATGTGTAACATACAAAAACCACCACCACCACCACCACCACCAAACAACAACAAAAAAAAGAACAAGAACAAGAACAAGAACAACTACACAAAACAACACTAACACATACTAACACTAACACTTTCAGGACCCGTGGGAAACGCCTTTTCTTTGATAGAGATATTAAGACACCCTCAGATGTAGTTTGTCTCTTTTTTTTGTTGCTCTGCTGCCAGGGTCTGAGGGGTTTGCGGTTTGCCTGTGAGACACACACCCGCCTTGGATTGGGTGGAGGTGTTCAGGGCTCAACCCGGTGACTCTTAGACATATAGCAGTGCCAACGGGTGTACTCTCTGGCTCACTAACATGGAAATGGACAATGGCCACTGGGAAGAACATGTTCCTCCACAAACAGGTGGCTTTCCACTTGCCATACTAGTGAGTCAAAGGGTAGCCCCCAACAAAAAAAACAATGAACAGTGCCTAGGAGCGCAAGTCTCGGGGGTTGACAGCAGCGGCTGGCGCAGTCCAGTTGCGGTCGGATGCGGTGCCAAATGTGACCTGATGCAAGAGCGCCTCCAACCTACTAGCAATGGCCTCCCACTCTGATACGACAGGCAGGACAGGCCAAGCACAGCAGGACAGGCCAAGCACAGTGCCTCGCAAATCCAGCACAGGCACTACCACCAGCACTGGACGGAACTGCAGGCAGTAGTATGGACCACTGGATTGGCAATTGGATGTTCCTAGTGACCCAAAGATTATACCCACGAACAGAAGATGCAAGAACATGTGACCCACTGCTTGAACGCCACGAGTAAACTCTGTTTGCCAAGCACTCAAAGGGTAACTGGAAGAGGGAGACCCCTAGATAATATGACTTTGGTTTGTTGACAGGGTCTGACGGGGGGGTCCTGCAACCCAAACCCGCACCTAGACGTCTGGAGTAAGACAAGCACGGTCATGAAGAAGGCCTGAGATGGAGCACTCCAAGACTGCAACAAAGCTTTCAAATGAGTTTCAAAATGAATCTTATCCAACTTCAACCAGGTCTTGTCCAATGTCAATCCAGCCTTTGAAAAGAATCTGGTTAGGGTTGGATGGGATATAAATATAAATGTATATCTATAAGTATATATACTTTCAGAACTGAAGAACTATAGGGATGCATTCTATAAAGTGGTATTGTGGAGCCCAGTGCCATTGTGAAACTTGAAGTTGGCGCAACCCCAGCCAAAAGTGCCAAAGTACCGTGGCTCTTAATCAGCTGGTGGACAACCTTTGGGTTTTCCCGGTCAAAGCCAGCTGGTATCAGCTGAAGGACGTAGTAAAAGAGTACGTCTCAAGCGCATTTTATAGGTCAGTCAGTCTTTGAGTAAAAACATGACGAAGTCAACTCTGCACTTCCTGCTGAAAGGGACTCTGACTTCTGACCCTGACTTGCTGATCTGAAATCCATCTTGCTTGAGCTCAAGCCTGGGCGGATCCTCATATTGCAGTCCCTGGCACAGCTTGGCATCCGTAGAGTAGCCAGGTGCGCGGGATCAGTCCCTCAGCAAAGTCTTAAATCCAGGATGTGAATGACGATGCTCGCTCTGTGTTACTTGCTGCGAGCTGTGTCTGCATCAGCATCGAGCGCCAACTGATTGTCAGATCATGTGACATGATTGTCAGATTCTCGGACATGATGATCAATTTGTATTCATGCACCTATGAAACATGATCAACACCCGATTGATGAGGTCCATTGCGGGCGGATGTTGCCTTTTGAGAGGGACTTCCCAATCTCATTCGACTTCAAGTTGACCCAGGCATCATGACAAAGATCAACCAGTCTGGTCGGCCTGGTAGACATCTCTGTAGTGTGCCAGATACATGGGCTCCGGTATCTCGAGCAACTCCTGGGCCACGCGAAACAGAAGAACACACCACCAAGATCTCAAGCACTATACAGGGACCAAATGGGCAAGGAAATGGTCCAAAAGGGGTCTGGAGGAAATCTCCTATGTCTCAACTCTCAGGCACCTGATAGGTCTCCAGTCACAACTCTCAGGCACTAAAGCCATCCATGGAACACCAAGTGTGAAGCACAGGTCGAAAGCTTCACAAAACCCTCTGCATACTCCTTCCTACTATGGATCTACTCCAGATTTCTTCAGAAACCTGCGAAACCCCGGCACCCAGAAAACACCAATTTCTCGAGAATAACGAGAACGGCGGACATCCGCATCGGACGCTCCAAGGCTCCACGAAAAGAAAAGGTCCCAGCACTCGTGGAAGAGCGCCTACCATAAAGAGCACACCCATATAGCCCTGAGAGGTCACAGTGAAGAACTGCCATGTCAAAAAGACAACATGACAGTCGAAACATATATGATTATAACTGATGATATATATATATATAGTTGTATATTATTCTTTGAACCTAAACAACAATGAATCCATGAGATGGCTTATAGACAATAAGACAAGTCAATCAGTTCTTGGGGATGGGCTACCTCAGTGAAACCCCGCAGGCCTGTCAGCCCACAATCACTATAGTCAGCATTTCAGGATTGGCATGGAAACTCGATGCAAACTGCAAGGATATGACCGATTGTAGTCTGAGCCCGCCAGTCTTGCTATGGAGCGTCCGTGTCTTCTTGCCACTTCCAAACCACATCACGAGCAAATAAATTGACTTGATATATATATATATATAGACCCCGGAACCTGACCCAAGGCTTCTCGTTAGGAACTGTACCTCTGTACAAAGAGAGGGAGAGAGAGAGAGAGAGAAAAAAAGAGAGAGAGAGAGAGAGAAAAAAACAAAAAGAAGTAGTGATCCCCATGCATCATAGCAAACACATATTTCAACAGACCTTCTGGGTGTGGTGCGCGGAATTGTCGCACCTTGCACCATGAAGCTCACAGACAGTGATTTTGTATGATTTTGTGCCGACCTGCTTGCCTGACATGTAGACTCAGTCGGCAGCTGGACCAAATTGAATAGACAAAACCACATCGGTCGCATCGGTCACTGCCAAGAATCAGTTGTGTGATTGGTGATTGCAGGGAGTATG